ACTGAGTGACTGAACTGAACTGAAGGTGGTGCAGTGCTAAAGAGGAAGGGCTTCCCAGCTTCCCATTCTGGCTCCAACGCTCAGGTCTGGGACAAGTCTGGGATGAACCAGCAGGCCTCCATATCCTCACCTGTAACCCGGTGGTACAGCAGTGACCCTGCAGGAGTGTTTGCAATATTCGGGCACGTCCAGGAAGGCCCAGCACCAAGGCATTTCCTGTGTCCTTTAGGATGTGGTAGTTGTTCCAGCTCCTCTACCTTCTGGAACTCGGCTGTTTGTCAGAGAGCCCCAGCCGTGAGTGGTGGAGCTGGAACTGGAATCCGAGTCTGCTGGCTGCCGGCCCACAGCCCCTTGGGTGGAGCCCTCTGTAAGTCCCATCCAGAGAGGGTGGACCTGGGACCAACGAGCTGTGACTCAGTGACGGTCAGCCCTGATGTAGTGGGACCGCCCTCTGGGAACTCTGAGCATAGCGGTGGGAACCCGTGAGGGTGCAGGAAACTGAGTCATTGGGAACCCTGTGCTCTTGCAAAGCTGCCCTGAAGCCCCCATTGTTGTTATTGTTATTGTTGTTGAGTCGCTAAGTCCTGTGTCTGAATCTCTGCGACGCCATGGACTGCAGCCTGCCAGGTTTCCCTGTCCTTCGCTGTCTTCCATAGTTTGCTCAGATTCATGTCCATTGAGTCGGTGATGCTATCTAACCATCTCGTCCTCTTCCACCCTCTTTTCCTTTTGCCTTCAGTCTTTCTCAGCATCAGGATTTTTTCCAGTGGGTCAGCTCTTCACATCAGGTGGCCAAAGTATTGGAGCTTCAACTTCAGCAACAATCCTTCCATGAATATTCAGAATTGATTTGCTTTAGGATTAACTGGTTTGATCTTTTTGCAGTCCACGGGACTCCCAAACATCTTCTCCAGTACCACAATTTGAAAGCATCAGTTCTCTGGTGCTCAGTCTTCTTTATGGTCCAACGCCAAAATCACTGCAGATGGTGACTGCAGACATGAAAATAAAAGATGCTTGCTTTTTGGAAGAAAAGCTATGACCAACCTAGACAGCATATTAAAAAGCAGAGACATTACTTTGCTGACAAAGGTCCATATAGTCAAAGCTATGGGTTTTCCTGTAGTCATGTATGGATGTGAGAGTTGGACCATAAAGAAAGCTGAGCACTGAAGAACTGATACTTTTGAACTGTGATGTTAGAAAAGACTTGAGAGTCCCTTGGACTGCAATGAGGTCAAACCAGTCAAGTCCTAAAGGAATTCAGTCCTGAATATTCATTGGAAGGACTGATGCTGAAGCTGAAGCTCCAGTACTTTGGCCACCTGATATGAAGAAGTAACTCATTGGAAAAGACCCCAATGCTGGGAAACATTGAAGGCAGGAGGAGAAGTGGACGACAGAGGATGAGGTGGTTGGATGGCATCACCGACTCAATGGACATGAGCTTGAGCAAGCTCTGGGAGTTGGTGATGGACAGGGAGGCCTGGTGTGCTGTAGTCCATCCGGTCACAAAGAGTCGGACACAACTGGGATTGATCTACTACTCACATCCATACATGACTACTGGAAAAACTAGTGACTATACGGACCTTTGTTGGCAGAATGATGTCTCTGTTTTTCAGCCCCCATACCACCTGGGAAATGCTGTCATGGCTTCCTGTTGATTTCCATGCTGAGAGAGGAGTTGGAACTGTCTTCACTCACTGGTGTATGATAGTAACATTCCACTTATCCGGGGCCAGTTGGGAACTGGGAAATGTGCTCAATATGAGACCTACGCTCTTGCTGATATCCCAGCAAAGAAGGCACTGCTAACTCCATTTTATGGAAGGTTCAAGCCAGTGAGGGGCGGGTCCAGATTTGAACCCAGGTCTGCCTGGCCCCAGGCTTCCCGGGTGTCTCAGCTGGTTAAGAATCCTCCTTCAATGCAGAAGACCCCGGTTCGATTCTTGAGTTAGGAAGATCGCTGGAGAAGGGACAGGCTGCCCACTCCTGTATTCTTGGGCTTCACTGGTGGTTCAGCTGGTAAAGCATCTGCCTGCAGTGCGGGAGACCTGGGTTTGATCCCTGGGCTGGGAAGATCCCCTGGAGAAGGGAAAGGGTACCCACTGCAGTATTCTGACCTGGAGAATTCCATGGACTACAGTCCATGGGGTTGCAAAGAGTCGGATACAACTGAACAACTGAACTGAACTGCTTGGCCCCAAGGCTCATGCTCTCTACATGATAGTGACCTTCCATACAGTAGCATTCACCACGCAGCTTAGAATGCTCATTCATATCCCCAAACCCACACCCACTATCTGCCTGTGTCAGCACTGACCAACTAATTTTCACCAGTGGTCAAATTGGATTTGGCCAAGTTACCACTGTTGAAGAGAAAAATAGGTGAATCCCAAAACTTGCTGTAAATTGAGAGGGTGGGCACGGTGGCCCCTGTGTTGGATGCCTTGTGCCAACTTAGGAAGAAAGAAAATTAGCAGACACGCATCTGTCTTTCTTTCCTGGCTTGCCCTAGGTAACTTCTTGGGCACTTTTGGAAAAACCTGCATGCCCTGAAAACCACAGCAGTGGAAGTGTGGAGTGAGGTCAAGAACTGATTCGATCCCTATTAAGAGCCTCCTTTCATAGCTAGAACATGCCATGCTCTTTCTGTCACAGGATCTTGGCACAGGCTGTTCATTCTGCCTACAGCACCTTTTCTTTCTATCTTTTCCCTCCTGATTTCCCTATTTTGCTTCACTAATTTATTCTTAGGGCTCAGGTTAAAGATCAGTTCTTTGGGAATGCACCACTGACCCTTTCCCATGCTAGATCTGCCTCTGATATATACTGTTCTGACAGTCATCATGCTTTCTTCAGAGCACACTGCTATTATAGTTCTTCCTAATATTTGATGTTGGTTCCCCCACTAGAGGATAAGTTCCATGAAGCTAGGGATGACATCAGTCTCAACTGTTGTATGCCTAGTGCTTTTTACTTGCCTGCTCTGTACCGGGCACTCAGTCAACAATGGATAGACCACTGGATGGTTGGATAGGTGGATGGAACTAGTTAACTTAATTTCCTTTCCCTTAATTCCAGCCACTATACTCTTCTTACAGACAAGGGAGATTGGGATCACCTGTTTATATGTCTCCCTTGTGTCTCTTTGAAGAAGAACCCATTTTGAGAACATTAGAATGTAACCCAGCACCTGATATATAAAAGTTGGTAGTGTGGTTGTTTAAGCTAATCTTGCCTTTGAGACTGGATCCAAGGGCTTCTGCTCCTTGGATCAGAAGAGGGGAGCTTGGAGGGTTATTTTCCCATGTTGAGAGTAAGGATGGCACACTTCTTCATGAAACCTGAGGGGGGTCCATCCCTGCTTCCCAGCTTATTCTCTGGTTTAGCTTCTTGGTAAGGTCTTCTGTGGAAGTTGCCAGTTACTCTATTGACTTATTTATACACAAATAGTTATTCCCATAACCTTCTCTTCGCCAACGTTCGGAGATAATGATAGACGATCTTTATAGCATCACAGACGTCACTTCAAAAGCATTCTCTTGCTATAGGAATGTTTATGATGTGCTTATCGCTAGAATTTCATGAGCAACAAACTCCCAAATTGCAGATGATTTAGCATTTGAAGCAGGGAGTGAGAGAGTATGTGTATATGCATTTAAAAAAAAAAAAAAAGACTTTGAAAAGGGAAGTTTTTCTTCTGCAGATATATCTTCTTCTAAAGTTTAAAATAAGAACTACTTAAAAGCTGCAAGTTTAGAGGAATGAGCACTTTCTCTTAAGCATTCAAATGGGGGAAAATGACTTGTAATCTCTCCCTCAAGTATTAAGGCAATAGGCATTTAAAGGCTTTTTTGGGAGCTGGCTGTCACAGACAAAAGATTTCTCAATTTAAAAAAAAAAATCATTTTTATAGCGTTAAATAGTAGGAATGAGCAGCAACAGCCCTCTTGACATTTTGGAAATGATTTATTTTCTGAAACGTCTCAGTCCATTTTAATAAATGACACTTTGTTCTTCCAATTCTGGGTGGTCGTTTTGGCTGGGGTTGCCATAGTTATGCTTTGACGTTCAAGGTAGAGCAGGACAGGGCTCCAGGCACAACTTCTGACTAGGTTCCCATGAACCCAGTGAATTGGTGCCACCACCTCTGAACAGACACCCCAACGCCGCACTTCCCCAACATCTATGTCATAACTCTTGCTTCTTGGAGAGAGACTCTCTGAGCAATCTGAACTGTAGTCTAGAGGGTGAGTTTGACATCATTTTATTTATAGTGACTCTCTCTCAACCAAGAGCTCAGCCAGCCGTCTTAGGAAAGTCACAGCTTGTGTAAACGTTTCCTGTAGTGGTGTTTCTCAGCCGTGGTATGTGGAATGGTGCTGGTCTGCAAACTGTTGACCAGATCAGTACAGAAATTGAGAGTAAGCCCTGAGATGCTTCCATGCCGATTTGACCAAGTAAGCTGTTGAATCATTAGAAGAAGGCTTGTACTTTGTATGAATATCTTTGTCACTTCATTTTTCTACCCCTTCCTTTATCTTATATTTTATAAAAGTATTCATCTGTGATGGATTGGAAATTAAAGAACTGGTCCTTCATCACATATAGGTTGAGAAGCCCTGTACTGTGGCGCTTTTTTGTAAGTTGTCTCTGCCCCCTGTGGGACAGGTAGGCTGTTGAATGAATTTGGGGAAATTGCAGCACTTACCAAATTATCTTGTAATGAAACATATGTACGTCTCTCTCTGTCTTGCTAGGCTGTTGTTGCTTGAGAGCAGGGGCTGCGTCTAATTCATCTTTGTAGCCTCGTTCCTTAGATCCCTGCCTGGCACAGTGGAGGGCGTGGGAAACATCCATCCCGTGCATGTCTGCTCCCTAGTGACATGAAAGTGGGTGAGCTCCCTCGGCTTCTGGATAGTGTCCTCGGCACACTGGTGATGGAGAGCTGGGAACAAGCGATGGAGTGACTGTCTCTTCTCTTTTTCCCACAGAACCAGGCCTCCTCTCCCCACCTGCCCAGCAGCATGAGAGCAGCATGACTGGCCGGTCGCAGGAGAAGCCTCCAGAGCCAGGCCCCCATCTCAACCATCTGCTGCAGAAGTCAAGGTAAGTTTGTTCCCCTTCTCCTGGAAGGTGTGCACATTTTTCATTTGAACTAATTTGCTATGATTTTGTAATCACTTGCCATGTACTGGAAAAATAGTGTTTACTGGGATGTGGGTAGACTGAAAAGGTGCATGTCAGCCTAATGGGGCAAAATGTCTTTGTTTCGGTTAATGGAGAAGCCAGTGATGAAGCAGAAAGGACATGGAATTGAGTTTCTGGGGACTGAAGCTGTCATTATTCCTCCACTACCTTCTGAATCTGGGACCTTGGACAGGTCTTTGAGGGATCAGGTATATTGGGCTTCCCTGGTGACTCCGTGGTAAGGAATCTGCCTGCTAATGGAGGAGACTTAAGTTTGATCCCTAGGTCAGGAAGATCCCCTGGAGGGGAGCTTAGCAACCCACTCTAGTATTCTTGCCTGGGAAATCCCATGGACAGAGGCGCCTGGTGGCTACAGCCTATGGGATCACAGGGGTTGGATATGACTGAGTGACTAAATAACAACAGCATCCAGGACTCTGGGGGTGAAGGAATCTCTGGAATAGGATAGAACTGGGTGGATGGCCTGGGACTCGCAGAATGCCCTACACGGAGTCTCCTTTCCCACGCAGGGTCATAAGGGGCCTTAGAAGCGGCTGATTCTTGGCCAGTGTTGAACAGTGAATTGTTAGAAAATTCCTACTAATATTGGGACAAATACTTCCTCTCTGCAATTTCTGTCTTTTCTCCTCTGCTCTGCCACGTGGAGCCCCAAAGACTGGGCTTTCAAAGTTTCTTCCACATGACCCTCTTTGAATTTGATGATGACTGTCATGACTCTGCTTTTCTTCAAGAGAAAATTCTCTCTGGAGACTGATGCCACTCACCTTGTTCTCTTGTCCCCTCCATGTTAGAAGGGGGCTTCATCACCTCCAGTTTGGTCCTGCCAGTTGCCCACCTGACCTGTACCTTCCTCAACACAGACTCCATTCACCATTCATTCTTCAGGACATATTAAGTTCCTCCTTTGTGACAGTCACTGTACTAGACCCTGGAGATACATCAGTGAGCAAAAAAGACAGGGTCTTTGTCTCTTTTAAGACAAAACAGGTATAAATCCTTGGAAAGATTTTGAAATAAGCCCTGAACCATTTCTGCATGCTCCTTTTAAATATTTTATGTTTTCAAATTTTTTCTTAAATGTTTCGTGAGTGCTTGAAAAAGTGTATACTCTCCAATTATTAGTATTTAGTAGTTTTCTATATATGATCATTAAAATAATATAGTTCACTGTGCTATTCAAATTATGTATATTATGTCCTTTTCTGTTTTTATCTGTCTTTCAATTATTGAGAGACCTGTTAAAAATCTCCTGTTGGATTTGTCCATTTCTCCTTGTACTGCCAAAAAATTTGCTTTGTGTGTTTTAGGGCAGTGCTGTTTGACACACAGATACTTAGAACAGGTGTATCTAACTGATAAATAGGGATTCATTTCTATCATCTTTATATACTTTCAGTTTTTTCTACTGTTTCTTTTCAATTGAGATTTTTTCCTTCCTCATTCCATCTTCTGTCTTCTTATTTGGAACTTATGTGCTGTGTCTGTTCTTTCAATGTTTAGCCCATCTATTTTAATAGGCATACTTAACAAAGTATAAAATGTCTTTACCTTCCTGCCCCAAAATTCAAGAATCATAAACTGGTTTAATTCTAACCACCACTTCTTCCGACTTATGTACAATTATTATCTTATGTTTTCTTTCTATTCTATTTTACCCCCTGCAAGTTAGACATCATTGTTTTTATACGTGTTTGTATAGATTTATTCATATTCTTTTCTCACCATTCTTTCATGAGATCATTTTCCTTCTGCCTAAAATAAACCCATTTGAATTATCTTTAGTGAGAATCTATTGGTAGTAAACTTTCAAGTTGTTTTTGTTTTGTTGCAGCTTGGTTTTTGTTGACATGAAGCTGTCTTTATTTTGCTCTCAGTTTTGAGAGGTAACTTTATTGGAATATATTCTCTTCTGTCACTGAAACCCTTATTCCACTGTGTCTGGCTCTCAATGTTACTGAGAAGTTGGCTGTCAATCTAATTACTGTTCCTTTATAAGTGACCTGGCATTTCTCTCTAGCTAACGTTAAAGATGTTGCTGTTCTCTTTGGTGTTCTGCTATTTCTTTCTTATATATTTAGGTGTCAGTGTCTCTGTCTTTATTCTGGGTTTGGTTGGGATTCCTACTGCTAAACATGGGTGACTTCCACAATTCTGGAAAATTCTCACTCTTCATTCTTTGAATATTGCCTCTTTTCCATTCTCTCTGATACTTCTCTTTGGAACTCCAGTTAGGCATGTGGTGGACTTTCTCATTCTGTTCTCTATCTCTCAGCCTCTGTTCCATGCTTTTTACCTCTTTGTCCCTCTGTGCTGAACTCTGAATAATGTCTTCAAATGTGTCTTCCATTTAATTTATTCTGTGTCTCAAATGCTCTTTAATCTATACATTGAAATTTTTCCATTCAGCTTTTTTATTTATCATTTCTACTAGTTCTGGTCCATTATTTTTTAAGTATTTATTTATTTGGCCGTATCAGGTCTTAGTTGCGGCACATGGGCTTCTCCCCAGTTGTGGTGCACAGGTTCAGTAGTTGTGGCTCAGAGTCTTAGTTGTTCTAAAGCATGTGGGATCTTAATTCCCTGACCAGGGATCAAACTCATGTCCCCTGCATTGGAAGGCAGGTTCTTAACCAGTGGACCACCAGGGAAGTCACCTGGTCCATTATTTTTTAAATCTGCTTGGTGAGTTTATGACCTCTCATTTCTTGCTTATATTTACAAACTTCTTTCTTTCTTCACTCCACTGAAGTTCCTGTTTAGACATTGTAGAATTTCACGTCTGGTAATTGCAGAATCTGAACTCTGCAGGTCTGGTTCTGCTGTCTGTTGCTTCTGCTGGCCAGGACTCATAGTGCCATGTTTCCTCGTTGTTAGTTTCTCTGAGCTCTTCATTTTCCTTAGATACTTTCCTTTGATAAGTATTTGAGGGATGGGTTGAAGCTGATTTTTCCAGAGAGGTTTTGCATTAACTTCTGCTGGTTGTCTTGGGGCAGTCTCAAATAAAAAATCACTTTAAATTCATTTTCTACCCAGAACTTGAATTCAGACTGTAAACCTGTGTGAGGTCCAGCTTACAAGTTCAAATTTCTACCCAGCCCAAGGTCAGGTTTTCTTGTGGTCTCCTTTTGGGTTGTGGGTCTATTTCTTATTCATTGAAGGTGGGAGCCTTTTGGAGTCCCAATTTTATGTCAGACCTGAGATATTTCTCCTGTTTCCTGAGCCATGTGCAGTTTTCATGGGAAACTTAGAATCCATAGGATGTGGCAGGAACCCATAGGGCAAAAGCCAGCTTTGCTGTTCTCTTACATCCCAAGGTTCCTGCTTTTGGTCTTTGAAGAATCCTTCCATTTTTACCAGTTCAGTAGTGTGTTTACAATTTTTATATTTTATATTTTAAATAGGACATTAGTTGTTTCAGTTGAGAAGGTCAAGTAGGGTATCTGGTGGGCCATATTGCTGGAAGGTCTGTCTTCTTTCTTCTCCACTATAGCCTGTGGGGCAAGAATTGCTCTTCCTTGTTCACAGAAGGCTCAGAAAAGACATGTTATGGGCTGCAGGCACATAGGGCTAGCTGGTGAGGGACTCGGAGGGAGTATATCCCTCCCCACCCCCCTTCCCTACCTTTTCTCTCCCCAAAATAACTGTTGACCATTTTTCAGGAGTAGCTTTATACTCTCAAAGGATACAAGTTCCTACCAGAATGCTTTAAATAGCTGAGCAGCTTTGTAAAATTTGTTTATGAATCTATTGTTTATCTTCCTCGAGAGAGGAAATGGCTTCTGCATTTTTGGTGGCTTGTTTCTCCCGTGGTCACCAGCAACCTTCCTGCTTCGTTCCCACTTGGCAAAGGCCTCCTAGACCCACAGCCAGATCCCGTGTGCACTTCGTCTAGACCCCAACTTCCTCTCATCCGTGTGCCCTCTCTCCTTCTAGCGTCTTCCCCTCCCCGTGCCTCTTTTCCACACACCCCCATCCCCATCCTTGCTGCTGTTAGTTTTCCTGTCTTCTCTTGGTGAGCCTTTCATCAGAGGGGAGACCACAGAGCAGGGTGCTTAGACTTTATGGGCTTGAACCCAGCTCTGCTACACCCTAGCTTCACCTCTCAGCGCTTCAGTTTCTTCATCTGCAACATGGGGACCACAGACAGAGCGGTTCAAGGACTAAATGAGATGACGTGTGTATACAGAGCTTGTAACTAGAGCTTACAGTCTATCGCAAGCACTCAGCCCATGGTCGTCAGTATCATTGTGACTGAGAAGAGACCCCTTCCGGGCTCACGCTTTTGTTCAGTGGAGGCAGAAATCTAGGGTCAATGTAAGATTCCCCCCTCACTGGGGTATGTTTTTTAAAATAATAATAATAATCTGAGGGAAAACAAAACACATCGGTCTAGCCAGTGTTTGCATCAGCTATAAACCATGAATTCTAGAAATGGTCATTTCTAGAAACGGAACGCTTCAGCATCTTGGCCCTCCCTCCAGGTTGTTTTCTCTGTCATGGAACCATGAGGGCGCTGGAGTCTCGTGACCCCACTTGCTGGGGAATTTTCCCTTGTGGAGCCCCAGTCCCTCAGTCAGTGGACGGCACACCCACTCTGCTAGACATCTGTCCGGAAGGGGCAGGATGGGTCGTCTTCATTGTTCATTATGTCCATCCTTACAGCTTACATGACTATTTTTTATTTCACATTCCCTTTTCATAAGTCACTGACTTTATTTTATGCTTAGATTTGTGTCACTTCCTGATTCGGTATCTATCAAGCAACAGTGTTTTAGCACCTGCTATTTGTAGTAACTCTGGGGTTTGTACAGTGGGCAAATGTTATGAAAAATGCAGAGTTGCTTGAGACCCAAAAACTCTTCTGAGAAATAGTCTATTCATTTAAAAGACTTTATGAC